GGCTGCTTTCGCTGGCGGGTCGTCGTATACCAGGTTCTGTAAAAGTATTTTTATCTGCGCTGGCGGTGGCCGATGATCTCGGTGCGGTGCTGGTCATCGCGTTTTTCTATACATCGGGCATTGCCTTTATACCGCTGCTGGTGGGTATAGGCTTGCTCGGCCTGTTATGGATCGGCAACGTGCTGGGTATCCGCAGCACGGCTTTTTATTTGATAGTGGGGCTTGCGGTCTGGCTGGGCTTCCTGTTTTCGGGCGTTCATGCCACGATTGCAGGCGTGCTCGTTGCCTTTATGATACCGGCGCGCACCAAGATCAATGAGCGTGAATTTGCTGACAATCTCCGGCGTCATGCCGGGCTGTTTGAACAGGCCATCCCTCAAAACGGCGCTTTGACAACATCCGAACAGCATCACACAATTGAAGATATAAAACAGCTTTGCCTGGATGCTGAAACGCCCTTGCAGAAAATTGAAAACGCGCTTCATCCCTGGGTGGCCTTTGTGATCATGCCGCTGTTTGCGCTGGCCAATGCCGGAATGGTGATCAACAGTAGTTTTTTCACTTCACTGGTACAACCCGTAGGCTCCGGCATTGCGATTGGCCTGGTTGCAGGAAAATTTGTCGGTGTATTCCTGTTTACCTGGGTGATGGTAAAGCTAAAACTGGCAGAGCTGCCGTTACTGGCAAACTGGAAACACATTACCGGGGTAGCCATGCTGGCCGGTGTCGGGTTTACGATGTCTTTATTTATTACCGGGCTGGCCTTTGAGTCGGCAGAAATGGTAGATCAGGCAAAGGCCGGGATACTGGTAGCTTCAACAATAGCGGGCATCGCGGGCCTCAGTATTTTGAAACGGGCCTGATGCAGACCCGGCTATGGAATAGATGTCCTGGAACGATTCTTACCTATGTCACTGTGGTCATCTGCTTCGAACTTATATCTGCAGGGATTTACACAGGCATCTGTTGAAATTGTATTCAAGAGAACAGCGCAGACCAGAACTGTAAACCGGAACAAACTAATTAACCAATACATCTACCTGATGAAAGACATCAGCCTATATAATAAGGCTAATGTCTTTTTGAAATCATTGGTATTATTATCAATGATTACTATTTTTTATACAATGGGCAGCGTTTCAGCAAGTAGTCCAGAGGGCC